AGGTAACGTCACGTTCTCAACAATGGACCTTTTGTAGAAACATCGGTTTGAGAGTAAATGGACCTAATAACCTCCGTCTCTTAATTCTCGCTGAGCAGAGAGCGAAGATGGTTTCTTTCTGTTGACTACGGGGCAGAAGATAACGTATGACGGGAACAAAGGCGAGTTTGGGGGAGCCGTATCTAGGTCACAGCGCCTCAATGGGTGAACAAGATGTGGCCGACACTTTGGGTGTCGAACGGGTGGGAGAGGGCGTGCGCACGCATTGTTTTCTAGTCACTTAGTCTCGAACCCAGTCGCGTGTCTAGGTGGCAGCACATATTCGCCAAAAGGTCCATTTAGCATCGTGTCCCCACTGCTAGCGTCGTGTCCTTTTGAATTTTTTTTGCTATGCATAGCTTATTTATTCAGGCCAAAAAACTGGGTGTTATTTTCATTTCTCGTGACTGTAGATCATGTCCTGCTTTGTATTTTATGGTACAAGACTAAAAATGTGTGCATTTGCTTGAGAATGGAGAGCCAGTAATACATAAACACGTTTCTCAAGTTTTTTCTTTTTATTGCACTATAAGATTTAACAGTTTTTCAGCAAATATACATGTTTTTAAAAAGGATTAAAGACTAAAAATATAGTCACTGCCACTGTTAGAGAATACACATTTCACGTACAAAAAAACTATTCACCCGTTTCCAAACTCACTGCTTACCAAGGGCAGGTAGAAACCACTTAAAGTAGAAATCTTTCATAGCAGGAACTGCTTGCTGAAGAAAGGCATCATCTTTGGCCATAGGAACTGTGATGTTCTACTTGCTAGAGTGAACAAAAAAAAAAACACTCTCTCGCAATTAGCAAGTACAGCAGGAGCTGAACCTGTGTGTAGTATCTGTGGGACTCTTTTAGCATTATCTTGTTATCAGCACACTGCAGATAGCGTACAATGCTTTGCCCTGAGGCATCAGGTATTTTTTTGTCCTTGCATTTATACGGGCGTTTCACCTCGAGCAAGCATGTTTCATCGGTGAACTTAAAAATGCCGTCGGGAGCAGGAGCAGGCCGACCTGAAAAGCTCACTGAATAATTAGTTAGAAGCAAACCACTTCATTTATGCCTCCCGCAGCAAAAGGCTTCAACACCGTGTGAATCGCAGGACATCTACAAAAGAGATGCAGTGGACCACAGTGTTGCATCATGACCAAAGAGCGAAGATGAGGTACACAATGCATTATTAGAACTCGAGTAAGGAACTGTAGCAGTTGAAACATTCACTGTTATTCCTTCCTACTGCACTGCCATAGTTCAAGGCACGTGTCTTTAAGAGAGACTGAAAATTTAAATGTGAGGGTTCACGTGGCAAACTAACTAGGGCCATCCAGCACACCCCAGTGAACAATTGAAGATTCATTCTGTTCCCCTAGGGATATTTTGATGAGCAGTCAAAATCTTGGTCACACGGCACCTTTCCCGCAACAAGTCTCCGTCATATTGTGGGCACTTTCGGCTGGGATTTGAACCTGTCAACAGGGCATCCCCACTCCGATGCCCTGCCTCAAAGATACCGAAGTAGTTTACAAAAAAGACTATGCCACTTATTTATTTTTAATTAAAGCCCCCGTGTAACTACTAAAAGTTTGTGAATAAAACATTCATTAAAATTTTTTTTGTGCTTTTTTATTTTAGGCAACAAACTTTTTTTTGCTGGCCTTAGTCACACAAGGATTAGAATTAAGAGTGTCCTTACCTCTACGACTGCAACACAAAATTGCTGCTCGAAGTCCCTCCTGGCCAGAGGTTATGTCCGCAGTCCTAAGAGTTATGAATGTTGGAACGAAGAATACTCTGAATATTACAAATACTGGACCCCATATTTCCACATTATTTTATATTGGAAAATCCGTGTTTCCTGGGTTTTACTTGTAAGCTTCAAACCTTTTGACATGCGGCATTCATTGAGGCTTAATGCTTTGATATTTCTTATTCACAATTACGAATAAAAAGCTTTACTGCGTGTTTAGTCATTCTACCAAATGCGTTTAAATGCGTTTAAATGCGGTAGCTTTATATGGGCCATGGCTGGCCAAAAGGGTTTTTAAACAAAATAAAATTTTATGAAAATACTTTGAATGTTTTAGAAGTATTTCAACATTAGGTTTAAAGGGCGAAAGGCGTTGAGTGTCAATGCTCAACGTTCATTCACGTCGATGCACTTCGACGCGAAATACATTACGTTGATGCTTAACGATCAACGCGAAAAATGATTCAATCGTAAAGCGTCAAGCTCAAGCAGCCTCCGCCCCTTGACCTCGACGCAGTTCTGATTGCCGGGCCTGCTCGCGACCGTAAGTTGCCCCATCCTGGGCTTGATGGCCTGCTGATGGCAGCTGGGCACGCTGCTGTTTCGCAGCCACTGCAGCGACACAACTTGCTGAGCCCATATACCATCTTGCCATTCACGGGCTGCTTCTGTGCACCATCGTTTTGCTCCTTTCTTTCTTGCCCTTTCCACCCCTCTTCGCTCCACGCCCGTTCTCACAACGCATGCTTCTGCTTGTCCCGTTGCTGCGTGCTGGGTCTAAACCTCAGTCAGTAGCGTACTCGCCTTCCATGCTAATGACCGAGGATCAACCCTCGGTCATTGGAAAAATGACTCTTTTCAAAATCCTTCAGCGGTTACGGACTGACCTACACATTTCGTGCTTATGTGACTTCTGAGGTTGGTTGGTCGTATAAAGCTACCGTAGACATCACCCACAGAAAACCATGTGGGAGGAAACGGACAGCCATTTTATCTGAGCAAGATTTACTTGAAATTCACAGGACCAAAAAGCATTGCCCCCCTCCTTCCTGCAAGAAGCCCATATGGTATAGACTAAACTGAAAATGAAACAGCGGCAGGCACAATCACATGCATAAACTGGCTTTTGTCGGGACCCAGAGTATCAGTTGTCATAAATGGACCCAGAGCATATGCCCTTTTTGTTAATTGTGCAAGGTTTAAAGAAAGACTATAGTGGCCTCTCCTCAGGTCAATCATTAACCTTGTGCACGACATCCGTAAAATATCTCAAAATATCCTCTTTTTTTCTTTTTGTCACTACAGTTTTGGGAACTGGAGTTTCACAGATAAATTGAAGATGAGGAAAGGTTTGTTGACAAGTCTTTTACCGCTCTACCCGAAAACATGGAACCCTCCACATACCATAGGATGTAGCCTTTGAGGAAAATTTCCTCTGTCTCAGGAGTGCTTCAGCAACCTCCCTTGGGCCTCTTCGGGTACGTAGGACTGTGTGGGAAGTCGCGCTGCTGATGCGTGTCTTGCTCTCGTTGTGCCATCTAGATGAAAGAACATAAACTTATATAAACAAAGGTACACAGTAGAACATAGGTTTTCAAGATGAGTTCCTAGGAGTTTCTTTGAGCTCATCAATTTACTCAACCACACCTACCTCCAAGTGAAGCGTTTTTCCAGTTTCAGCACTATTTTAGCAGATCTGAGCTACCCATTGATGCAGAACCCTGAGCCAAGCACTCCCTAGTGTGTGCATTATTATTTGCAAGCCCTGCGGCCTTGTGCACTGCATCGATCACTAGACTGGGAGGGGTTCTTCGACAATCAAGCGAGATGTGCGTGCCCCGAGATCAAAACGTATGAGAATCCATCCCTGCAGTAGAATACCCGTTTCACTGCTATGCAATTCTGCCCAAGTAATTGCCATACCTTAAGCATCTCGACTTCTCAATCATCTCCACGCAGAGCTCGAGCAAGGACTCGCAGACGACACGATTGGCATAAAATGCACTTTGCTCTGCTGTCAGCTGATGTTTTTTTGGTGTTACAAACAGCATGGGGAAGTCCCCAGAAATTTCCAGTGCATGTAGCGGCTTCGCTGGTGGCGGAAGGAGCTCGCCGAGTTTGAGCAGCTGAGATGCTCTGATGACCTCTTCTTGTGCTTGGCTGGAACTTTCGGAGCATATCTCAGCCTCACTTTTCGCAATTTCTTGTAGTACTTCGGTGAAAGGCGACAGAATGCCCGTGAAATGATCGAGCACATAAAATGGTGACAACTCCTCTGGCTTTTTGTTGCCTACAAATTCACTGTTGTTACCTGGAGGCAAGAGGAGGATGATGACAATACAATTGGGGGGGGGGGGGGGGGGGCAGAGGCTATGTCAGGCATTGTGCCTTTATCTTTGCCCCCACTGCGGAAACAACTCCGCAAAACAAATAAAGAAAAATAAAAACAACAACTATAAATAATAGAAGAAAATATTCAATTCACATCTATTTGTGGGGTGTTACGTATAAACTGGCGACAATTCTACTGGCTTCTTGTTGGCTACATGCGGTTTGTTGTTGCCTGGGAGCAGAGGGGTGATGAGGGCAATACAATATTAGAGAATTATAAATAAAAGAAAGAAAAAACAATTTACATATATTTGTTTATTGGTGCATAACTTCAAAAAATATACCGTTAATAGAGTAATTTTAGTTGAAAACTTTTAGCACTTACACAGTTGCTTGCAGTGTATCACTGAGTGCGGCAAATGCATGTTGTGAATTTGGGTCTAGCTAGAATATGGGGCCTGACAGTGGCATATCAATGAGACGATATTGGGAGGCCTGGAGTTAAAATCCCGGCTCCGCCACAGTTTACGAAGAGCCGCCAAAAGGCGGCTCCGTAAACTTTAATTTATTTGATGAAGTATGGTTCATTCATCTGCATATTTTTGAACATTTCCTTTTTGGGGACCACGTACGATGATGAAAGTGCCCCTGAGATATACATATATATGGTTTAAATACTGAAAATTAGAAACCGAGTGAATGAACAAACCACAAGAGAGCATTATGATTACAATAAAACATAGATGTGAGAGCTTAACATCAGTGTGTGACACATTGTATGCAGAGGGTGCATAGCAGCTAAAAGGGCATCCTGAATATGTGCCACACATTGAGCATAAACATGACAATCACTTTTTTTTCGTATACCCGTGCAGATTAGTACAAACACATTTCGAAACCTTTCCTTGCACAATTCTCTCTCTCCACCAGTAGTCCTGACGAGAGATTCGGGCAGTCAAAGCGCAATGTGAAAATCCGGCGATCGCTTGTTCGTGCAGTGTCTCGCAAATGCGAAATCGCTAGTCGAAAAGCAAAAGCATAGTACCTCCAAAAAGCTCTTCGAATGAGGTTTTATCATTAAGCGCCGGTTTACCCGCTGGCTTTCCCCATGCTTGCGCAACACTGGTACACGACGGGTGCTCATGCTCATTCACGAAGATAGCCACAGCCGCGCAGCGCTTGTAGTTGCCGAGATACCCATAACGACAACTGCACTTGCCGCTCGCTATTTCGCGGGGCTCAGCCGTTAGCTGAAAATGAAAATAGGGGATGCAACGAAAATTTTAGGCATGCATGATGGAACCAGGCGTGGAATCGCGAGGGCACTTTAAACCCTACGATTGACTGAAGGTCAAAGCCACGGGCGCGGCCGCGCGGCCCGTGGCTCCGGCCTTTAGTCCATCGTAGAATGTCGATTGAAAAGAGCCACTGACTTCAAACACGCAAGTAAACACACATAGATACACTGAATTGTTAACTTACGTGGAGTTCCACATCGTAGACGTGCTTGCTTTGCTGCGAGAAACACTTAGCTGTAATGTCTTTGCCGTCGAATTCACGAACCTGATAGACGTGGCTGTTCTCGTAAAGACGCTTTCCTTTGACGAGTGTTGGGGGTCTAAAATACCTATAAATGCTCCCGGTGGGCTTAAATCCGCATAAAAGAACCAGAGACATGGTGCGCAGGTGCACACGGGACTTCCGAAATCAGCGTCGCCGTCGCTCGCTACGGCCTGATCGCTCGATGGCCGTCAAACTGGACGCCCCGGTAACAGAAACGCCTCCGCTTGTGGCGCTGAATACAGTACTCTCGTGGCGCCGCCTGGCCATTGCCGGCTGCCTATAGGAAGTATAGACCTTTCCAGCGGCAGTCTCGAACGAAGCGATTTCCAGCGCGCGTCCCTGGTTTTGAGAGTGTACGTCAGTGTTGCCCGACTGCGCTGGGTTGTGGGTTTTCTCGTCAGTACACTCTTAGAAAAAACGGTATGGATAGTCCTCCCTTAGGGGAGGAACGGTCTTGTAACCTATGTTCCTTTAGAAAGGGAGAAACTTTCGGCCCTGAAGCAGGGGAGCAAAGTTCCTCCGTCGCTTGCATCTCAATATGGCGGCCCCGAATCGAGCAAATCGAGCCCAATAAGGCTTGACGAGGACGCTACGTCTCTTGTACGGGACGAGAGCAGCAGCAAATAAAAGCGTAACACTAGCTTTCTGCAAACTGTGTTTATTTCCGAAGCCAGATTTCCCCCACAAGCATAGAAACTTGCGTTTCGAAAGCAGTTACTCAGTCTTCTCGTCGACAGCACTGCGATGTTAAACGGAGACAACCGATACCCAGTTACTTCGCGCACTTTGCGTCTTACCTTTGGTGTTCCTCGAGTCACAATTCCTTCGTCAACCGCACATCACAGACAAGGGCAAACTCAATCCGCGAAACCAAAAGCCGCTCTCGAAAGAACAAACTCGAAGCCGCTGTTTATCGCGTAGCGTGAAAGAAGGTTAAATCGCCAGCCACCAGATGGCGGGGTCAACAGAGTAATTGCGAGTAGCAAGGCTAAGTGGCGCTAAGTACCGCCCAATTCATGTTTTGCAAAAAATAATTTGCTTTTCTCAGGCCACTGCTGCGCTTGGTGATCCTCTGCTATACACATTACGCTCATTACAAGCATCAAGTGAACATACATTGAGCACATACACGGCACACACAAACATCAACACAACGGAACACCACACTAACCCGAACACTACACCCGTGCTCTGCGTTTCTGTCTTTTATAGTGGTCGTTTTGAACGTACGGAACTTTTCGGTGACTCCCTAAGCAATAAAAAATATTCCCAGCATGTTGATTTTTTCCCAGCAATGCCGTACCTCTGAGAATATTTGAATGGCTGAGGGGATGAATCTCTAATTAAAAAGTGAATGCTCGATTATGCCGTAATTATTTGAAAGCCAATATATCAAGCCGCTCCAATGCGGTTCGAAGCCATGAGTTTGTTTCCCCACACGGCACGTCGTAGCCCGTATTTCTATTGGTTTTTCTCTTCGTGCTGTTCGCGCAAAGCTGCAATTGCCGTCTTGAATTAATTTCTGTAGAGCGGATATTCACTCAGCTGGAAGTGATGCTTCACGGGCTGAGAAATTGCTTTTCGATCAACTTGAATGCAGTCAAAGCCGCGACTTGCGGCAGGTGTTAAGTGTATGGAGCTACGCCGTGGCCAGCCCGAAAACTTCTAGCGCTCATCCCAGCGCGCCACTTGGAGGGCAGTTTCTCCAGGAACCGTAGTATATTTAAAAAGCAAAATAAAGAGTAGCTTTTTTTTTTTTTCTCGATTTTACGTACTATTGTTTTTTAATGCCAAAATTCCATACTGTAAATATGCGTACTTTCCGTCACGATTTCGTACTGTTCAGTCCTTGCCCCAGAGCGCAATCGCTCTCGGGGACTAGACAATTCCGACAGTCACATTCGCCACTGTACGATAGAAGCTTCTACTGTTCAGACTAGCGTTCCAACATGACTATCCGCACGTTGATCGATTGCACGTAATCCCTCAAGTGGTATTAAACTTTTTAATGTAAAGCGGAATGTCAACCTGCGACACCCCGCCCCCTCCGATCACGGCCCGACCAACGGCATCAATGCCCGACAGTTTACGATCTCATCTTCTTGTTACACCACTATTACGCGAACACACGGTCCTATCGGCGATAATTCCAGTCATCTGTTTACAACCCACAACACTGCCGTCACGATGTTGCAGCTATGTTGCTGACACGCACAAACACAGAACCACGTTGAACGCCGGTTGCACTCGGCATCGGAAAACAGAACCGAACTCAGCACGGAAGGCACCCAGGCAGCCGGCAGCAAAACCTGCCTGTCTTGGACGCAGTTCCTGCGGTTTCCATAACGTCGAAAACGTCGACACAGTTCCGCGTGGTTTCGCTACTGTAGTGACTGGGGTCCCTATCATTTCGTCGAAACTCGTTTCGTGGAATTACGTTTCGTGGACAACTTTTCGTGGACACACGTTTCATGGACACACGTTTCGTCGACACTGTGAAATTTCGTCGACAATCGTTTCGTCGACAGCACCACCGTAAAACGTTTCGTCGACAAACTTTTTTTTTTTTTTTTTTGCTGTTCCGAAAGGAATGCCAGAAACTGAAGGTACACACTTTTATAAGAGATGACAAAGACGATGCCTAGCACAGTTGCTCTCGAAGGTGAGCAACTCCGCTATCCTCTCGCTCTCATCCGTGTCACATGGAATAAGCAAGAGCGCGCAGGACTTCGCGCGCGGCCTATTCGGGTATTTGCAAGTTCCGATGCCCGTTTATGGAACCGAAAGTTACTGGCAGAAAAAATGTGGAGAAAAATAGGCGTAGGCAAAACAAAACTTCGATCCAATGATGGGTTGCGGAAAAGGGCGTAAACACTGATTTTTTTCTTTATATTGGTCATTTTTAAACAAAAATACAGCTTGCAGCCTTTTATTGTAAAATTACAACCCTAATATTAGAGCGCAGCTCTTAGGGGCCCGTTTCCAGCCTGAGCGGCGTCGGCGTCGCCGTTGGCGTCGCCGTTGGCGTCGCCGTTGGCGTCGCCGTCGGCGTCGCCGTCGCCGTCGGCGTAACCGTCGCCGTCGGCGTAACCGCGCCCCTCCCTCTCCTCCTCCTCCCCCTCCTTATCCTCCTCCTCCCCTCATTGTGTAGTATGGTCCGGGCGAGTCACGTGACCTCGGGGGGAGGGGGTCACATGACCCGCTTCCAGCCTGTGCGGCGTCGGCGTCGGCGTCGGCGCCGCCCCTCCCCCTCCTCCTCCTCCCCTTCCACTCCTCCTCCTCCCCCTCCTCCCCCGCCCGGTAAAGGTGGTAAAGGAGAGGGAGGGGGAGCAGGAGGGGAGGAGGACTAGCAGGCATGATCACGAGGGTGGAGGAGGAATACACCCTCCACTCCTCCTCCTCAAGAGCTGCGCTCCAATTCGGCGTTACAGGAAGCTGTAAACGGCTTTCACTTTTTCACTTGAAATTAAGCATGTTCATTACCCTCAATTATTCAAAAGCAAAAGTGATCCGGTGTTTTACTGGCTACTGCGACTTATACGCAAAAAAAAAACTGTTTAGTCGCACTAGTTTCATCGTCATTTATTCTTAAGGGCCGTTTAAAAAGGACATTAGATAATAAGGGGGCTGTAAACAATGTCAAATAAAAATAAATAACAAGAAACACGAAAACCAGTAACACTCGCACTACCGCGAGCACGCTGCCCGCGAGTAAACCTAAAAAAAGCTACGTTGCAATGCAAAAAAAAAAAAAAAAAAAAACACGAGAATTGGTAACATATAAATAAAACTTACACAAAGTTTAGCCTTATTACACAACGTAAACCATAGATGATATCAAATGTGCAACTTAATGCATTATATAGCTCCTATCGAGCAGCCGCCAAATGCAAGGCCTTGGAGGCGGTAGTACGAGACGAAATCTGTCGGCTGCAGCCGACTGGGCCTCACACGCGACATTCAATTTTCGTTTTATCGATGCCAGCAGACAGATAACTGGGGCAAGTTCCAGCCCTTTGCATAAAGGAGCGGCTTCCAAATCTAATGTTCTTTGGTCACATATTGGTTTATGTGCATGTAATATTTCAGTACAGACATAACATATGCAGAATTATAGTGTTATTTAATATCAAAAAGCTAAATATGCTAAAGTCTAAAAATCGTATGGGGTCTGGTAAGTATAGTACGTTGAATACCCGGTGTTTGGAGGAAAAAACAACCGTGTTTTATCACCGTAAAAGTAAACTACGCGTAGCCGAATGCTCAGTCTCCTTCAAAGTTTATTGCTTGCGGCTAAGACCAGATGCCGATTAGCTTAAAAACCGATTTTATGCCATTTCCAACGGTAGAAAGACTGTGTGCACCGCAAACAGGCCTCGTTTTTTCTTTCAACATTTTTTACGAGCTTCAGTGTTTTTACGTGTGGACTATCTATGCTCTGTTCAGGTGGCTCTTGAGGATTCTACCAAAAGACGCGACGCGCGGAAAGATACACTTGCTCTGGAAACGATCCTGCCACTTTTTCAAAACAGTCGGAGTGCCGGCGGCCAGCCCGCGAAAGGTTGCATTCGATGACGTACAGACACGTCGATCACGTATGCTGCCGAAAGCGTAGCCCTCAAGAGCAGCGCATATTGTTGAATGTTTTAAGAGTCTAATTTGAGAAAGGACAGTCAGTGGTCGAGAACAAAACTTCCCGGCTTTGACAACGCTTCCCCAAAGGTTCAGGCAAGGACACGAGCGAAACCATTCAAATCGTAAGTTCCGAAATCAGTGCGATCGGTGCCCCCCCCCCCCCCTAAAATAAATAAATAAATAAATAAATAATCATAAGCAGAAAAAAATTGGGATAGTTTAAGCAGGTTTAAGTCGGCTGGTTCGGCCATCTTTCATCCATCCATCCATCCAACACAAGGCCGCGTGCCGCGCAGGCGCAGAGCAGAGGTCGGGAGGAGGTGCAGCTGGCGGAGCCAGGAGCTGGCAGAGCGAGCTGTCGACGAAACGTCGCAACATCTGTCGATGAAGTGAGCGTTTGCTCGTTTCCACGAAACGATCTGTCGATGAAACATCGGAGTGTCGACGAAACGATTTGTCCATGAAACGTCGTTCGACGA